CCCCACCCGGCCATCACTCCCTGCCTGCCTGTTTGGCATCCAGCCACTGTGTTCTCACTTGGGAAACCTGCCTGGATGTCTATGAGAGGCTTTCATAAATCCTCCATCTGAAGACGCACTGGAGGACATGAAGGACAAGGAGACACTGCCCAAGGGCACACAGAGAAAAATGTCCTGATTACTGCCACAGTACATCCCACTTCCCTACCTTCCACTCAGAGACCCTGTTAAATGTGTTAACAGAATACTAGGCTCAAAATGAGGATCCTAATGACAAGTCTTGAAAAATAAAAGCTCCTGAAGGAGCAACGCATGTGGAGCTCAGGTTGAACGGACTGTGCCTTTCTCTGAGGTGTGGGCTGCTGACACCCAGGTGTTAGGACAGTGCTGGTGTCATTCTCAGCGACAGGCTTGCAAGCTCACCTGTCCACACAGGTCATGGATGCTTCTGGAGCAGCCTCTCAAAGGCACACCAGCTCCTCGGACTCCCCTAGGTTTTAGCAGACTTTTTTAACAAGCACAAGAAGTTCCCACATCAAGATTGCTTTTTTATGGTCTAGATTTTTATGACCCGAAACTGAGCCACTAATTCATGCCTACGGCCTCTGAAGGCATCGTATCTGCAGAACTACGGTACTCATGTTTAAAAGCGACAGAGTGGCCTCCACAGCAAGCAAGTCCTCTTGGACCAGAAGATCCCAGAGTGGCTTCGAAAGGATGGGGACAGCCAGCCCCGTGTCACCAACCCTGGTAAATGGAGGGGTGACCACTATCTAACAAGATGACCCAAGGGTTGGAATATAGTTACTGGACGTTTCCAGCAGTTTGTGTTTCTGACCCCACTGGTTTTCGTAGGCTCCCTATGCACATTTCACTCACTCCCTGGTCCAGTATAGTTTTCCTCAGGACTCACTTTTAGGTCCCTTTATTTTTTTCTTAACATTTCATTTTCATTTATTACTTCTGGGCTGGACATCTGCACCCCTCCACCTACAGCCACTCTTTAAACATCCGCGGCTGCCGCTAATGTATGACCGCTTTCCTTCTGACCAGGGCGGTAGAGTTACAAGCTGTGGAGTTAATGGGTTATGAAGTTACACATCCAAGAGGGAGTTCAAGCCGTGAGCTTGCATGTTAATTACCCTAACAGATATTTCATTTTGTCGAAGCAATGGAATGATCCATTTATTCTCAAGGTTGTGGCACAGCTTATATTAGACAAATTTTGTGAAGTAAATAGCTACTGAAGGAGTGGTAGAAGGACCACCTCAGCTATTTAAATCTACTTTTTATTTGCAACAGGCATGAATGGGTTAAGTGCATATATATCTCTACTGTTTTTTTAAAAAGTTGGCTGCACCCAGTGGGTATTATTCACAAGACCGTAGAAACACGCACGTGTCTATTGACAGATGAGAGGATAAACAAAATGTGACATATACATGCAATATATACTTGGCTTTAGAGAGGAAGGACATTCTGATCTATGCTAGAACACGGACAAACCCTGAGGATACTGTGCTGCATGAAACAACCAGGCACAAAAGGATAAGTGCCACACACTGATGTTTATGCAAAGCGCCTAGCTGTTAAATATACAGACACAGAAAGCAGAATGGTAGTTAGCAGGGAATGGGGGAGTGGAGTTTTTTATTGGTAGAGTTTCAGTTTTGCAAGATGAAGAAAGTTCTAGGGAGGAATGACAGTAAAACTTACATAATAACAGGAGTGTACTCCACATTACTGCTTGCTCCATGGAAAACTAATTGAGAGCCCTACTTGGTGGTGCAAGGGGTTAAAACGCAGCACTATGAAGCTACTGCAGCCACTGCAGCAGGAGTCTGATGGCGTGGCAGACTTCTCCTGACCCGCCCGCTGCTCCCCTCAGCAGTGTACTTCGTTGATCTGCCTGTTCTGCTCCCCACTCTGTCTCTGGGTGAATCC